TAGGTTTCATGTATACAGTTCTATAACACAACATCTATATAGTGCATTGTGTTTACCACTCGAAGTCAAATCTCCTTTTGTCACCATATATTTGACCTCCTTTACCCCTTACTACCTCCCCCAATCCTACCTTCCCCTCTGGTAACCACCATACTATTGTCTGTGTCTGTGGGGTTTTATTTGTTTGTTTATCTTATTTATTTGTTGTTTTCAGTTTTATATCTTATATATGAATGAAATCTTATGGTTCCTGACTTTTTCCATCTGATTTATTTCACTTAGTGTGATAGTCTCAAGATCCATCATATTGTTGCAAATGGCAGTATTTCATCTTTTCTTATGGCTGAGTAACATTGCACTGTGTGTGTGTGTGTGTGTGTGTGTGTATATATATATATATATATATATATACCACATCTTTATACAAACATATATGACATAGCTTTTTTGAAATTTCCAGAATATTTCTATCTTTTCTTTTTTAATAAAAGGCTACATTTTCTGTAGAGAAATTTTGAAAATTTGATAAAAATAGAAAAAAGAAAGTAAAAATCACTGAGAAACCATCATTGAGAGAGTACCACTTATACCTTGTGTACTGACTACTTATCTTCCTCTCTTGGACTTGCTCATGCTTGCTTTCTCTCAGTCTCTCTGAGTCTCTCTCTCTCTCTCCTTTCTTTACATTCTTCATACTGTTAAAACTGAGAACACACTGCACATGCAGCTTTTCAACTGTTTAAGACTTTTTCACACTTTGCCGTGCCATTAATCTTCAAAAAAGATTCTTGTAATGGTTTAATAACATTCCAGCAGAGAGCTGTAGTGAGAGCATACGGGCCAGCCTGTCTGGTTTCAAACCCAGGTTCCGCCTTGGGAAGATTATTTAACTACTCTGTGCCTTCATTTCTCCATTAGGAATGGCAGCACTTAACTCACAGAATTGGAGTAATGAGATAAAATACTTAGAAAAATGCTTACACATAGTAAGTACTCATACAGTTTAGAGATTATCATCCCATGTGAATTACCATATTCAAAGTAGTCCTTTATTATTATTTTTAATGTTTTATATTCTTTAGAATGTTTATGATTCCCATAGGGCCTGATTCTAGAGTCAAAAAAATGTATGTACAATAAAGTAGATGAAGCAACAGATCGTATGTTCACTAATCCCCATGGCCTGCCTACTTTGGCTCATTGGTTTACATTTCTCCTGACACTGACTCTTTTTTTGTTCACAATGTCTCCCAATTCTAGGCTACTAAAATCTGGGTCAAGCAAATATAACTATTCTCTTACACCAGAGATGGGGGGTTCCACCACTGCCATATGCATTTCTTTTTCTTTGATCCTGTGACTATAGGCAACAACCCACATAGGAGAGGGTTATTCTTTGAAATACGATGTTCTGTCTGCATCTTCTCTTTTATACAACCAAAGGAAGTTCTTAATTTGAAGAAGAAAATAATTACTACACACAGTTTGGGCAAATATCTAGGACAATCACTCTCAATTATTCTTCTAAAGAAGGAGATTTGTCTTAATCAACCCTACAGCAGCAAGTCAGCCTGAATCTCTTGGTGACACCTTCTTGCCTGTGTGAATTTTCTGATCTTGTGGTTTGGACTGTACCTTGGCAATTTTCCTTAATAAGAGGACTCCATCTCTATACTTGGATCTTGCTAACAGAACTGTTGGTGAGATGACTGTGGAAAATGCCTACACTTTTCTTATAGAGACCCAATTTTCCACAGTGGTAATCTGGCGCTCTCATCGTAGCAGTTACACCTTGTGATTCTGCCAGTGGGGAGCTGTGGGGATGACCCTATCAGTCTTGCTCACTAGGCTCTCTGTGGGGAAACCTCCAGCAGAGCAAGCTCTTTCTCCATTTGGCCTTTTGGCCTGTTTGGTCAGAGACCTCTGCTAACTTCTGAGGCTACATCTGCTCAGTGATGCCCTGTATCGTATAATTGCCATCTATCTTATCTTCTTTTGTGATTCTTACGTTAGATTTAGGAGCTGTTTATTTTTCCTAATCTTCTCAATAATGTATACTTCAGATTGAAGTGTTGCATAGTGAATCCTGGTGATGAGCTTAATGTTCTATGCAGTTAGTGAGCATGCTAGCAAGCACCTCCAAGGCCCTGTTAGAAGTTCCGCTCTTCTCCATGTCTTTTCCCAACACCAAGTTGTGTTAAAATCTGCATATAATCGACTTAAAGCTATTGAGGCTGCTTCTACTTTGTCCTGCAAGAGAAAATTCTTGGGTCTGCATGTTCTGCTATAGGTGGTGGCTGTGGGAGAGACTGCACATGACAAAGCAAACCTATTTCTGGATGATAGAGGACAGTTGTGCAGTCTGTATAGATCTACAGAACAGCAAATTAGGAAGAGCAGCACCTAGAGGTATGGATATACCTTTATGTCCCTCAGCTTTAATTTTGAAAAATCAGAAACCTACAGAAAGTTTCCAAGAATAATACAATGAATATGCATATAGCATTTATCTAGATTCTCCAGTTATTAACATTTTGTCATATTTGTTTTCTCGCTCTCTCTGTCATATTTGTTTGTATATGCTTATGTGTATATGTGTGTGCAGGGGTATATACGTATATATGCTTTTATGTATATGCACATAAACATACATTATGTTTATTATTTTGCTGACACTTTACCCCTAAGAATAAAGACATTCTCTTACATAATCATAAGATTGAAAATTCAACATTGATATAATAACATTATGTAATATACAGGCCACATTCAAATTTCCCAATTGTCTTTTTTGTCTCTTTTAACCTAGATGAGTTATCAGCCTTTCTCTCTTTTGCAACATTGATATACATATTTTGTTGGTGATGTTTTGTTTTACAGAATCTTTCTCAATTTGGATTCGTTTGATTGCGTTCTCATAATTAGATTCAGGTTAAACTGGGGTTTGGGAAGGTGGGACAGAAATACTACTAAATGTCTGTGTGCATCAGTTTAGGGGTCTCAGAATATCAGATTGTACTTCACTGGTGGTGCTCGGAGTGGCCTCTCGGAGAAGGTGGCACAAGCTTTTTTTTTTATTATTATTAAAGGCATATGTTCTCTTTGTAGTAAATAGAAATCTAGGTGGTAAATTGTTTGAAATCCCATTCCTTAATATTCTTTTACTCAGTGGTTTTAGCATACAGAAAAATTTTGACTGAATAATTGTGATTACTATTGTAGTTGTGAAATGGTAATACTCTATTTCTATTATTCCTTCCATGTTTATTAGTTGGCAATTTTCAGTAAAGAACTTCTCCCCCTCGTTTTAAAATTTATTTCCTATCTGTATGAATTCATAGATATTTTACAAATTCAATGTGTTTAGTCAATTCCTGCCATTTTCATTCTGATGCTTGGTTGTTCCAAATTTGTCGAGTGGGAACTCCTTCATGTTGACTGATATGCTTTTGATGAAGACTCTGTACTCAAAGTGTGAATTTTAGACAATTACATTCAAAAGTAAAAGAGATCAAGGGGGCTAAATCTCAACACTCTGTGATAAATACTCTTCCTGAAAATATGATTGCTTTAGGTATGTATATGTCTGTGTGTGTGTAACCAGTTATTTTTATTTATTATTTTTTTTCCTTTATTGATTTGAGAGAGAGAGGAAGTGAGAGGGAGAAAGAGATAAAAACATCAATGAGAGAGAACATCGATTGGCCACCTCCTGCATGTCCCCCACTGGGGACTGGGCCCACAGCCTGGGCATGTGTCCTGACCGGGAATTGAACCGGCGACCTCTTGGTTCATGGGTCGACAACCACTGAGCCACACCAGCTGGACAAACCAGTTCTTAAGTGATGTTAATCTAGAACCATTAAATATACATAAATTAGCTGCTTAGGCAACTTTATACAGTAGAAGCTCTCAACCCTTTCCACTGAACTAACCTGCTAGATCCACAGATGCTCTCCGTTTCTTTTGAAAACCGAATTTTCTGACAAGCACAACACTGAACACCCGAGGGCAATAACCACTCTCCAATACACTGGACTTCTGCTCCCACTGTGGTTTCACTGAGCAAGTGTCAGTGGTATCTGTTTCCAAGCATGTTTGGGTTCTTATACTTGTGACCGTAGTTATTTTAATTAATTACATTAAGCATATTTTAATTACTATGAAAATCAACAAACTAGGAGAGCTGAAAAGAACGTAGTAGTTATTCTGAAAATGAAGTTGAACACCTTGGAAACTCTCAATAATCTCAAGTCACTAAAAAAATTACTGTGACAAGAGGTATGAGAAAAAAAAGTTTAAAAGACTGTAATAAAAAATTATAAAAAGCCCCATCAGAGTCTAGCTTCAGATGCCCTCAGAAATGTCTGCTTTACTTTAAATAAACTGAAACAGAAATAGATACATTATAAATGTGATTTATGCAGGAAAGTCTTCAAAATACAGATCTACACCCAGGGGGAAAAGGGCCTTGACTCTATATAAAAATATTGTCAAAACATGTTTTATTATTGTACTTCTTAGGATTTAGGGCTTTAACCAAATTTTTGGATTAATTGACCCATTCTGCTTTTGGTCTTATCAAATAATTTCTACAAAGTTCTCATTCTACAAGGGTTTCAGTCATTTTTAATTAAGGTTTCTGTGTCTTTAAAAAGTCTCAAATTAAAGAATCATTTTAGGTACTGTTAAAAGTCTATATTTGAACTTCAGGAACCCAACTGATTACTGCAGCCTAGCTTCTGGTACCCAGAATCACCCAGGGCACACAGCCATCCAGTAAGATGGTGTCTAAACAAGGTTTATGTATACTGAGCATAACACAGCCCAAAACATCCTGGGACTTTATATACTACTTATCTATCATGTTATATGGTATATATTATTTATAGATTAAAGTCTCTATTGAATTTCTGTGCTTTGAGAATGGCTATCACTTTTCTGTATCTCCCTAAATACCTAACGCTGTTCCTGCTTTTCCTACATTAGAACTTCAAAAAAGTTAACAGAGAAGATACCATGCAATGGTGCAGTATTCCATGGCCTATCTACTGGGGGCACCATTCTCAGCTATTTCTTATTCTGATGTGAATTCAAGCTTTTCTTTAGGTATGTATATGTCTGTGTATGTATATGTCTGTGTATATATATACCCAGAGACTTTGACAGCAGCCCATCTTCCCAGCTTAGTCTCACTACTCCCATGTACATACACCATGTTCCAACAAAACAGGAAACTCTCTTCTCAAATAAGCCCTTGTCTTTACCTGAATTTCTGTCCCCCCTACTCAAATCAACCCATTTCTGCCTATTGAAATCTTACCCATCCATCATGATCTCAGGTCAAATACCACTCTTCCTTGAAGCCTTCCTGGATTCCTCTAACCCATGGTCATCTCTCTCTCCTTCAAACCCACAGGGCACAGACCACATTATTCATCATTATACAATTATTTTTCACTTTACCTCCTGTGTTCCTTATGGGCAGGCAGTAGGTTTCACTGTTTACCTGTAGTATACCTTGTCCAGCTGGTGCCTTGCACATAGAAGGTGTTTAACCTCTAAATAAATATTTGATGGCTATTAGTTGAATTGTATGTTCTCAACTTTGTAACCAAGTACTGCAATGCTGGACCGTTTAGAGAATACTTTTAGGACTTAAAAGGTACATAGACTCAGAATAAAAATATTCTACTCTAAACCTTGAAATCCTTTGAGCTGAAAGATAATGCTTAGAATTCAGATAGAATATTTGACTTCCAGAGATGTTCCTTTTATATGCTATAAATAGATTTAGTGTTTATTCCAAGGCAATTCTTATTTATTAAACATGAGTAAAAATATTATTACTTTTCTATTTTTGACACTTTTAAATTCTTGTCTTTAATATTTCTTACTCATATTACCAATTTTATTATTAAAATATTAATAAACTTAAAAAACAAATGACATAAGACTGTTTATATTATTTTGGGGCATTTAGTGGTCAAATACACAATCCTAAAGATTCAGACTTCAAATAAATACAGGGAATTACTCCTTATATATGACATTCCTATAGTTTATTATTGGTACATTCTATAATGACATATCTATTTCCTCCTTGTTTTTCTGCCACAGTGGCAGGCAGTTGAATAAACACTAAAGAACTTCACCTATTAACTTTATTCCACTGCTCAGGATAGATTGCAACATTGACAGCATTGTGGATCACTCAGCATCCTCCCCTCCCCTTTATTTTTCCTAGTATTTTATTCTCTTGGGACTGAGGGGCATTTCAAGATGGGTTCAATGCATTAAATATGTGTGTGTCAAATGAAAAAAGAGAACAAAACTCCAGGAAAAGAACTAAACAAAATGAAGATAAGCAATCAATCAGATGCAGAGTTCAAAACACTGGTTATAAGGATGCTCACGGATCATAGTGAGAACTTCAAAGCACTTAAGGAAAACTCCAAGGAACTTAGTGAGAACATCAACAACATAAAAAAGGACCAATCAGAAAAGAAGAATGCACTATCAGAAATAAAGAATAATTTACAGGGAATAAATTGTAGAGTTGGTAAAGCCAAGAGACAAACCATCGATTAGGCATATAAGGAAGCAAAAAACACCCAATCAGAACAGCAATAAGAAAAAGAATCCAAAAAAATAAAGATAGTGTAAGGAGCCTCTGGGGCAATTTTAAGCATGCCAACATTCACATCATGGGGGTGCCAGAAGGAGAGGAGAAAGAACAAGAAATTGAAAACCTATTTGAAAAAATAATGACAGAAACTTCCTTAACTTGGTGAAGGAAGCAGACATACAAGTTCAGGAAGCACAAAGAGTCCCAAACAAGATGAACCCAAAGAGATCCACACCAAGACACATCATCATCAAAATGCCAAAGGTTAAAGACAAAGAGAGAATCTTACAAGCAGCAAGAGAAAAGCAGTTAGTTACCTACAAAGGAGTTCCCATGATTGTCAGGTGATTTCTCAAAAGAAACTTTGCAGGCCAGGAGGGAGTGGCAAGAAATATTCAAAGTGATGAAAAGGAAAGACCTACAATGAAGATTACTCTATCCTGCAAATCTATCATTTAGAATCAATGGACATATAAAGAGTTTCCCAGACAAGAAAAAGCTAAAAGAGTTCATCACCACCAAACTAGTAGTATATGAAATGTTGAAGGGTCTTCTTGAAGAAGAAGAAGAAGAAGAAGAAGAAGAAGAAGAAGAAGAAGAAGAAGAAGACGACGACGACTATGAACAATAAAATAGCAATTAATACACATCTATCAACAATTGAATGTACAAACAAAATGACAAAGCAGAACAGAAACAGACTCATAGATACAGAGAACTTCTTATTGTTTGCCAGATGGGAGGGGGTTGGGGAGATGGGTGAAAAAGATGAAGGAATTAAGAAGTACAAATTGGCCTGGCCAGTGTGGCTCAGTGGTTGAGCATCGAGAGTCATCAGTTCAATTCCTGGTCAGGGCACATGCCCAGGTTGTGGGCCAAATCCCCAGTGGGGGGCACACAGGAGGCAGCCAGTTGATGTTCTCTCTCATTGATGTTTCTCTCTCTCTCTCTCTCTCTCTCTCTCTCTCTCTCTCTCCTCTTCTCTCTAAAATAGATATAGGAAAAAAAAATTTTTTTTTTAAAGAAGTACAAATTGGTTATTAGACTGATGAACCTTGAAGGGAACGAGGGAGGAAGGGTGAGAAGAGATAAGCCAAAGAACTTATATGCATATATGTATAACCAATGGACACAGTGTGGGGAAGGCAGGAGGGGGGCAGGACTGGGGAGGAGTGGGTCAATGGGGGGGAAATCGGGACATCAGTAATACATTCAGCAATAAAGATTAGTTTTTAAAAATGAATTTAAAAATTTGTAAATAAAAAATAATAAATAAATAAATATGTATGTAGTCTGACTACAGTACCAGGAGGGTATACACTAATGATCTCATTCCAGATTCTGCCTTCAGTTTTATTCCCATGTGTGAAGGCACTCGGCTAGATCACGATCAGCCTGACCCTTTTCCAGTTTCACTCATCTGGCTTCTTTGTTGAAGGATTTCCACATGTTAAATCGAGTCGGTGTGGTATCTCTTAGGGTTGGGGGTAAATTCCCTTAAACATGGTGTCCATGTATGGATTTTGAGCATCTAAAATAAAAACGAATGGTTTAAAACTACAAAGGAGACAGAGAACTATATTCTGTTGGTTTTGGCATGATAAGTGGGTTTCACTGCTTAAATGCAAAATCACTGGTCTTGAGAGAAAGCAGAAAATAGCTTAGTTACCCCTGTCCAAAATTCTGGCCCCACAGAACCTATAATAAGAGATCTTTTTCCAGCCTGTCAAACTCAAATATTTATAGACAAATGACTAGAGGTTCTGAATGACATGTAAGAGGGGATCAGTATCTCTTAGGCTCAATGGCCTTTTCATATATATATATATATATATATATATGAATTTAAGACTTAAATTCTTCCCTTTTGTCATCTTGGGGTTTCCAGAGCTCTCATATAAGAAAGAGGGCTTTGTACTTGTTATTCCTTCAGTCTAAAATTCTCTTCCCACACATATGCACATGGCTTGCTCTCTTATCTTCTTCAGGTCTTTGCTCAAATGTCCCCTTCCTTCTTAGTTGGAAGTTGGTTATATTATGTAGGGTAAAGTGGTCATTCAATTGCAAAATTGTATCTATCTTCTTTCCCTGCTTTATTTTCTGCACAGCATTTACCACCACCTGAATGATTATATGTATATATTTTTCTGTTTACAGCCTATCTCCCTCTGTCACTTGAAGCTACATGAGGCAAGAATTTTTTACTATAGACTCAATGCTGTATCCTCAGCCCCTGATGGGTACCCAGCACATAGTGAGTACTCAATAAATATTTGATAGATGAACATAAGTAAATTTAGTCCCCCCCCCTTTATTTTCCCCAGCCATCTTTGCAAAATATAAATCTGATCATGTTAATCCCCTGCTTATAAATTTTCAATAGCTGCCCATTGCCTACAGAATACAATTCAAACGTCTTAGCTTGGTATACTGAATCCCAATCCACCCCTCCAATCTTTACTCTTAGCACTTAACCACTTGACATTGTCTAAACCTGCCCTACTCCTCAAATCTCCACGCTAGTGTGCACATTATTCTTTCTCCTACAGTGCCCTCCCCACCATTCTACCTGGGCCACTCCTGGTCAACCACTGGGATCCAGTTGAAGTTTGGGCTCCTCTGGGAAGCTTTCCTTATCTGTCCCAGGCAGAATCAGCCTGTCCTTGATCTGGGCCCCTGCTTTTATTATAGCACCAATGACATGAGGTTATGGTTATTTATAAATATGTGTTCTACTAAACTGTGATATTAGTTCTTGTCATCCTTAGTTCTGATCACTAATACTATTATTTATGTAAAGCCAGCACAGTAGTTAAGACACATTTGGTACATAATCTCTCTTCCTTCCTTTCTTCCTGACCATGCCTCAAAACTGAGTCTGCTCAAGTTATGACATAAACTCTTCAAGGACTGGAAACATAATAATCTTTGAATCCTAGTGAGTTCTCTAGAGATTGACACTTTGCAAGATTTTTGAACAGATGATGGATGGATGGATGGATGGATGGATGGATGGATGGATGGATGGACAAATGAACCACCAGAGGCCAAAGCTCCAGGTCCTCTCCTGAACCCCCCTTTTTTTTGAAGTACTATTTTGGGGAATACCTGCTTCATCACTATTCTTTCTTGTGTGTACAATTATCCCCTCATGTGCCTAATTACATAATTCCACATATTTGGGGGTAATAAGTGATTAACTGCATACCCAAGTTTTTAACTTTGGGGACCTAAAGTTTACATGTGAAAAGAAAAGGAAAAAAAGGTTCATTTGAGGCCATGCTGAAAACCTGGATGAAAAAGTTAAAGGCACTGTGCATAAAGCAGCAGCTTGCAATTTTTCAACTTCTAAATGTATTCTTCAGTCTTCAGGGAATAAACAATAAGCAAAGAAAGAGTTGAATGCATTGGAAATTGTTTCATACTTGATTCCAAAACAGGATTAAAAGGAGTTGACATAAAATAGAGCGATTTTATCAAGGCAGAGGACACTGTGGAAGAAAGGTCATAGAATGTAGCTGAATACACAGGGACTGCCATAAATCATGTTAGCAATCAACATACCCAGTGTTCTATGCCCACCAGCAGTGGCCTGTGTTTGAAAGAAAGTGTAAATCCCTCATCCAGCACTAAGTTTTGCAGTCCTGTGCTTGTAAAAAAAGAACAAAAACAACAAAAAAACAACCATTTCTTTCTAAGCCCAACCCAGAGATCAGAATATGACCTGATAAATAGCCCCAATTTTGTTTTAGTTATTAAATACATGAGATGGGAAAAGCAACAGCATTCACAGTGCAGGATCAGGTGACAAAAGCACTCTATACTAGTGGTTTCCACATGTGAGACTTGTAGCCCGGGGCCCCTGTACCTCCTTTCCTCTGGGAACATCATCTATCACCACTTGACTCACCCAGGTAAATTTCTGGCCAACTCCTACTCCAATACCTCAAACATTCAGAGAGTTCTAACCACAGAGTTCTTTCTTTCCTCTTCTACTATTCCTTCCCTCCTGCTGAACCCATCCTTTTCAGGACCTCCAGCACTTCACCAAGGAACGACAATAAGAAACTGTGGCAAAGAATGCCAGTTTTCTTCCAATATTTCTTCCTTCTTCCTCATAACAGAAGCCTCAAGTTTCATCAGTGCACATAGCTGCTCACATTAAAGGTGACATTTCCTTGCTTTTTTTGCAACAAGGTGTGGCCCTATGATTACGTTGTGGTTATTAGGGTGGGAGTAGAAATGACCTGTGCAATCTCTAGGATGTTTCCTTGAAAGGAAAAAGCATGACATTTTGCCAACTAGAATGTGGACATAGTGGTGAGTTTTCCTGAACCTTGTGGATGAAGTCAAAGCAACAAGATAAAAAGAACTTTGGCCTCTGATAACTTCTCAGAGCAGAGATGCCTACCAGCTCAGTGTAATATGAGAGAAATAACCCATTGTACATAAGCCACTGTTATTCTGCATCTCTGTTACAGCACCAAACCTATAGCCTAACTTGCACTGTCCTTCACACAGTAACCTGCCCACCAAACATATTTTTCATCCTTGGTTTACAACTTCTTCCTTAAACCCATCACACTCAACTCTCTACTCAGATGGAACTCACGTCTTTCCCCAAGCAAGGCGCTCAAGCATGTGCCCTGTCTGTGCATTCTCGTCCTTCCAGCATCAATATCTCAGTTTGTCAAGCTCTCACTCAACATCCAAGACTCATTTTAAATATAGCACTGTTAATCTTTTATCACAATGATTTTACCTATATATTTTTTTCTCTGGCTCTCCAAATCTACTCTTTACCCTTTCCCATCCTGCTCTGTGCCAAAGGGAGACTGTACAAATTGCATGTCCCAGAGTCCTTTGACCTCTGGCTTCCAATTAGATTTGACCAATGGAAGTCAGGCGATTGAAAGTTAGTGGGGTGGGGCAAGGAGAGATGTTAAGATATTTATTTTCCCAACTTTCTCTCTGTCAGGACACAATTTGGCAGTTTCTCCTTTTCTCTACCTAAGGAACCCAGCTCCTTTCATAGCTCCCTCTGGAAGCCCCTCCCTGTGGATATCGCGCTCATCAGGTTCCAGATACAGTTAGGCAGTAACACCTTCTTGCTATTTCTAATCTCTGGGTGCTTCATCATATCTTGTGGTTTTTCTTTTTTTTTTTTTTTTCCTCACCCGAGGACATTTTTCCATTTTTTGTTCAGGTAGAGTAGGAGGGGGAGAGAGGAACAGAGAGAGAGAGAAACATCGACGTGAAGGGACACATCGAGTGGCTGCCACCCGCACGACTGACCAGAGCCGGGGACAAACTGCAACCGAGGTACATGCCCTTAGCGGGAACCGAACCCGGGTCTCTTGGGACCGCAGGCCGACGCTCTAACCGCTGAGCCAAACCGGCCAGGGCTCTTGTGGTTTTTCTTAATCCTACTCATTCATCTGTAAATACTTTTATCACTAAATTCTCAAGTTACCATTTTTTTAAAAATTATCTTTATTGTTGAAAGTATTATAGATGTCCCTCATTGACACCCTACTCCCCACTCCAGCCCCTCCCCTCTGCTTCAGTTATCCTTTTGAATGTGTTATTTGTTTCTCCTGGGACCCTTATTTATACTATGTCTCATTAGACTTTCACTAAACTATGATAATCTCAAGAGCAAGGACTAAGACTGAGGAAATACTGTTTTTTTTTAAAGACTGAGATACTTTTCCATCCACAATGCCTAGTTTTGCATCTAGCTCATAATTTTTGCACTTTCTTTATAAAATAAAAATAATTTCTGTCCATTCAACATTCTTACTTCCCAAAGAATAAAAATGTTGATGATGAGCATGAAATTTAACTGTATGCCCGGCCTGTATAGTTCAGTTGGTTGAGCCTTGTCCCATGCACTGAGAGGTCACTGGTTGATTTCCTGTCAGGGTACATGCCTGGGTGGAGGGTGTGTAGGAGGCACCCAATCCATGTTTCTCTCTCATCAATGTTTCTATCTCTCTCTCCCTCTTTCTCCCCCTCTTTCTAAAATTAATAAAAGCATATTTAAAAAAAATACCCCGAATAGCCACAGCAATATTGAAAAAGAAGAACAAAGTAGGAGGGATCACAATACCAGATATCAGGTTATACTACAAAGCCACTGTAATCCAAGCAGTCTGGTACTGGCACAAGAACAGGCATATAGATGAATGGAACAGAATAGAGAAGCCAGATATTAACCTAAGACATTATGTTCAATTTTACAAAGGTAGCAAAAGCATACAGTGGAGTAAAGACAGCCTCTTCAATAAATGGTGTTGGGAACATTGGACAGCTACATGCAAAAAAATGAAACTAGACCACCAACTTACATCATACACAAGAATAAACTCAAAATATATAAAAGACTTAAATGTGACTCGTGAATCCATAAAAACCTAAAAGAAAATGTAGGCAACAAAATTTTAGACATCACACGCAGCAGAATTTTCACTGACATAATGCCTAAGGCAAGAGAAAGAAAGGAAAAAAATGAACACATGGGACTACATCAAACTAAAAAGCTTCTGCATGGCAAAAGAAACAAGCATCAAAATGGAAAGGGAACCCACTATATGGAGAGCATAATTTCCAATGATACATCAGATAATGGGCTGATTTCCAACATATATAGAGTACTCATAAAACTCAACAAAAGGAAGACAAATAACCCAATTAAAAATAGGCAGAGGACATAAAGAGACTCCTCTCCAAATAGGACATACAAATGGCCAAGAGACATATGAAAAAATGCCCAATGTCACTAATCATCAGAGAGATGCAAACTAAAACAACAATGAGGTATCACCTCACATCTGTCAGAATGGCCACCATTAACAAATCATCAAACAGTGAGTGCTGGCGAGGGTGTGGAGAAAAGGGGACTCTAGTACACTGCTGGTGGGAATGCAGACTGGTGCAGCCACTATGGAAAACAATATGGTATTTCCTCAAAAAATTAAAAATGGAACTGCCATTTGACCCAGTGATCCCACTTCTAGGAATATACCCTAAGAAGCCTGAAACACCAATCAGAAAGAATATATGTACTCCATGTTCATAACAGCACTATTTACAATTGCTAAGATCTGGACACAACCCAAGTGTCCATCAATAGATGAGTGGATAAAAAACTGTGGTACATGTACACAATGGAATACTATTCAGCTGTAAAAAAGAAAGATCTCTTATCCTTTGAGACGACATGGAGGGACCTGGAGAGTATTATGCTAAGCA